TAAACAATATGTGTAAAATAAACAGTATCAGCGAATTTAGTAATTAAATAAGTATTCAGAAGAATACCTTATGTGTTGTGTTGTTAAGAATATACAAATATACTGTATGATTATTGGATAGAGTATATGAAGATTTCAAAATTCTTATACTTTTGGATGAAGATATAGATTTAATTTAAAGAGTAAAGTAAAGTAAAAAGAAATATACAGGCATCCTCTAGTCATCTGTATATAATTTTTAGTCTCTAGCATGAGTTATAGTGCATTTTACTTTAGTTTTAAATTTCTTGTCAAGAATTTTGTACTTAATAGTAGATTATGACTCTGTTTAATTAAAAGTTTTCATCTAGTTAGCAGATTTTCTTCTTTTTAGTGATAGTTTCTTTTAGGTTTTAGTTTAGTTTTTTTATATTCCTTAGTATTAGTATCCATTTTTTTTGATATATTAGTTTTATTTTTTACACCTTTTTTCATTTTCCATTATCTCTTTTTTTTTTCTTCTCTATGAAAAAGTATTATCAGTTCTATTGTAAAGCAGAAATCTTGACGAGATGAGCAACAGCCAGCCGAGGAATCTGGGTGAAATAAGTTTGGAGTAAGTTCTGGATCTCTGAAGGAGGTCAAGTGTTGCTAAGTGGGTCACATCTGGGCAAAACACAGTGGTTTAATAGTTCGTTCTAACTGCAAGTAGATGTTATACCATCTGCAATATATGCTGTAAGTGAGTTTAACTTTTGGTAGGAACACTTTAGATTTAAATTTCTTATGCCATGTAAGAATAAAAGTCTGTTTCTATAATAAAGTAAACAGAAAAAAAAATTTAAAATATATAAACAATTTTATTTACAACTTTTCTTAATAATTATTTGTATTAACTTTTACTTAACTATAGGTTAAAGACTCAAGGTTTAAAAGCTTAAACTATTTGTTATTGCTAATTACAAACTGTTATCAATAAAGTTTTAAAATATCAGTAACACATAAACTTTTTCTGACAATCCTTTAATCAACAACAATAGCAAACCGAACTACAAAAAAATAATATAGGAATGTTCAAGAAAGATACTTTTCAATCTTACCTTATAATAATACAGTTGTTGACAAAGCTTGAAGACATGAAAAACTAAGAAGTGGATATACTTTGGGTAGTTTTTCATGGGATCAAGCCTTCTTCTGCTTGAGGGTAGACTCCTAGGTTATTTGGCATCTAAACTAAAAGGGTTTTCTGGGAACTGATATTACTTAAGTGTAGGTTGTTGTCGATGAAGTCTAGGAGATATGATACACTGAGGAGTGGGCATAATTTGGATGGTTTTTTTTGGAGTCAAGTTATTACTATATTGAACAGACTCTCTAAGTTATTCAGTATCCAAACCAGAAGGGCTATTCTGGAAACAAGTAGTAGTCAAAAGACTCTTGCTGAGATAGTTGAAGCTTGAAAAATTGCCTATACAACTGTAAAACTTACAGAAGAACCTCATATATTCTCATTGACCCCTTTGCTTTTTTTTCAAGAAAAAGTTTGTAAAAAAGTGGATGATTTAGCTTATCCTCTCCAAAAGATCGACATATTGTTTACTTACCAAATCGGTTAGCATTGTTTACTTTTTTCTGTCACAACAAATACATGAATATGCATAGAACATGAACATATAAATTACGTGCCTTAAAAGTGGCAATTCAAACAAACAATGCTTCGAGACTAATAGTATGGATTTCTGATTTCTCTATAGTGACAATGTTAAAGAAGCTGATTTTTTTGCTTCTTACAGTTTTTTTTGCTTAGATATACTAATTATATAGATTAGAGTAGAAACTAGTTTAGATAGTATAGTATGTAATTTTTACAAAGCCCGGCATAGGCTTATAATTGTAACCGTTCATTGTGGATATATCCTATATTTTTCTTTTCTTATTTTTTCTTTTATCTCTTTATTTTCTTGTTTGTATCTTTTATCGTATTTCTTTATACCTCTGTGTTTTTTTTATAAAATTATTTTTCTTTTTCTTTTATTTTCCTATAAGAAGATATCATCAGATTGGCGATATCCTATTGTAGAACAGTGGTTAGACGAACCCTCTGTCTAGAATATTATCTTAATTGATCATACCTCTGCAGTGTAACAAATTATCTGTAAGTACATGTAGGTAATTGATTAAGTTATGTGAGATAACTGCAGGATGTCAGGGTCAAAGTTTTATTGTATTACATTTTTCACAAGAAGAACTTTAATAAACAGGATTCACTGGTATGACTTTATCTAAGTGAAAAAAAAAGTCTTAAAATATAATGTTATATGCTTGCTTAGCTTAAATAAATATTAAATATGGGTTCTTTTATAGCAAATCGAGGCTTAGAGATGATTTTTTGATTTGTAAATATCAACGATTAATCAAATTTCGATTGTTGTGATAAATTTAGATATTTATATGTAAAATAGTTTATAATGTATACTTATACATTATACTGAGTATGCTTGTTGATATAATTTTAATCTTTTTAGCAATAGCAATAGCGATAGCAGATTTAAAGCTAAAATTAGAGCAAAAAATCAATATATATAAAATTATTGCATATAGAACTGTACCAAATTATAGTATATCAACATATACAAAACTTTTTACTACAAACAACTCGCACACTTATGAATACAATCTGATAAAAATCTCAATTTCGGTTAGCTCATCTCTAAACCTTGATTTGCTGTGGAAGAACCTATATAATGATAATAAAATATATTGTTGCCAGTTAGATCAAACAAATATATTACTTGACTTAATATATAAGAGTGGTTAAAGAATGTTTTAAACAAGAAAAACTAAAGAAAAATCTAAACTAAAACAAAAATACTATAAAATAACCAAAGAAATAATCAAAAATAATTAAATTTACTTAAGTATAAATTAAATATATCAATAGAAAAACAATATTTTAAGGGTATGGTGACTTAGTGTAATCGGTAAGTTGCTGCACCCCCAAGTGGCAGAACAAGAGTTTAAATCTCACTAGCAATGAAATTCAAATTTGCAGAAATGTGTTATAGTAAAACTGTATGACATATTGATTGGGTAAGCAAAGACCCTGGATAATGCTAATAAAGATACGAGTTGAGTTAATAATAAATTTTCAAGCATTTTGTCTGCTTTAAAAAGCCTAATTTTGTCTATTTTAGGTCTTATACCTTTCGATTTACAGTTTTATGCCTGATTTTATTATATAACATATGAGTGTAGAAAACCTGCCATCATTGCTTTAAATTATATTTGTCTGGATATAATCTAATTTATTAAAAGCCTGATAATAGATTTCTTAGTACTTATATAATATATATGCATATATTTAGAAATTTGTTATATGCGAATAAGACTTTAATACAAAAATTTATAACAAGTAAATATCTCAGTAAAATATATATATTTTAATATATATATATGCTTTATAAAAAAATATTTATACAAATTGATATTTTTAAAAAATGTTTACAAAAATTAAATACAATTGTTTCATATATATCATGTCTAAGTAAAACTTTTACAACATTAAACTCATCTATTTAGATGCCAATATTGTTAATGTTTTAATATACGTTTCAAATCTGATACCAATTCTCGAGTAAATTTAGTTATATTTTAAGTTATAAACATTAAACTATAAATTCAATAAGAAGTTAAATAAGAATAAATAGTAAATATTTCAATTAATAAAAACTTGTCATATATACCAAACTAATCAATGTGAATAAAAATTAAATGAGAGATAAATAACTAAGCCTATACAAACTTAATAAATTGGTTCTCATAACATAAAAGTTTCTAAAGTGACCTGGCGATCTGACTTTTAATTTTTATTTTCAAAAAATTTTATATATAAAAAACATATAAAATTTTTTATATATTTTTAAAAAAACTCACCTAGAAATAAGTATACTTAAATTTTTTTTTAAAGTTTTGTAAATTTTGACACGGCTGAGTTATAAGAACCGATTTATTAAGTTTGTATGGCCTAATGATATTATTCAGCAATCTTTTTTTACAGCAGTATTAAGTATTTTTTCCCATATTTTTTCTCAACTCCCAATTGATTTAGCATTAAAAATTTTTTTTTTTGAAAATTTGATAAAATGAAAATTGTTATGAATAAGAATAAAGTTAATATAAATAAAATAATCATTATGCAATTAATGATTGCAAACAAAGATAGCTTATCTTAAATGATTTGATTACAGCTGTTATCATTATTCCTGGGACACCTAATAAAAATTAACTGAATGATTATTCTGCCGATTCGATAAGTTATTGATTTCGGCATAATTAGTATATAAAAGCTAACACTATTTTTATTATATGAATACTTGTTTACAAATAACATTTCACATTATTAAATATTGTTTAGTATGTACAAAAATTTACTGGATATATAAATCTATAAATAAAAAATATATATATATATATATAAAATACTTTTCTATATATATATCTAAGTCGATATATAATTATAAGACTAATTTTATATCCCAAACTAAGTTTCATTTTGCTTTATTAAAGGATTTAGATATTTCATTTTTAGTAAACGTGGTTCTGTTAAGCATTTCGAATTGATAACTTTTAAATTTTTTTAGCAAGCTTCGAAAGTATCTTATTTAATCAGAGATATCTAAAGCTATATCGATATTGATTATCTGGTTATTATTGATTAATAATTGTTATTATAAATAGTGAATGTTATACTGATTATGCCAAAGTCAATAACTTATCAAATCAGCAGAATAATCATTCGGTTAATTTTTTATCAGATGTTCTAGGAATAATGATAACAGCTGTAATATACTTACACTAAAAGAATAACTTACTTTAAATGCTTCGATTAATAAATGATTATTATACTTACACTAAATCAATATAACAAAAATATATTTTAAATTTATTCTAAGCCAAAAATTTCAAGATGGATAACTCATTTTGGAGAGCTAACTATTTTATTGATTTATTATCTTCATAGTCTAATTCTTTTCTACCTCAGAATTAACAACAATTCGCAACAAATTTTTGGTAGAGTGCTCATTAAAAAACCTATATAACTCTAAAGCCTTTCCAAAAAGAGATCAAATTATATTGCTGATCAATATGAAAAAAATCACCAAATCCAAGAAAATAGATTAAAAATTTAGCACTAATATGGCTAAAAATCATGTGTTCAGAATTGGTTATAGGTGAAAAAATATTATTTTGAAGTGAAAAAAAACTTTTATTAACAAATAAGATAATGAATCAACATTAAATACATCACTGCATACATAAGAATGGTAATTAGAATTCTTCTAATATAATGCCAAAATTTGTACAAAACAAATTTTGTGATTAATATAAGAAAACCCATAACCATGTCTGTGAAGAAGATTATGTTCTCCGATATTAACAATAGTTATTCTACTTAAATCTAAATTTTAAAAATAATTTATTAAATAAGCATTTTGAACTTCTATATTCTTATAATATTAACTACTTACCAATCTTCTTATTCATATTTGATAATACAGACAAGTGACTACGATTTTTCTACCGAATTTTATGTAATTTTTTACCTTGTGATATTTTAATATTTAATGTATAATTTGCAATTAAACTACTGATCGTGTTTGGACGAATAGAATTTGTGTGACTAAAATCCTGAATTTTACAACTAGTTTTTTATTCTATATTTTAATTACTATAGCATTTATAATTTTTTCACAAATTAACTAGATAAGAAACATCCAAAATTTCTGCTTTTGTAACACCAGTATAAAAGTTTTCATGTGTCTCTAGATTTTGATTATCTAAAAAGTTTTGATTGTCTAAAGAATTCGTATCTGATAACAAAAAAGCCAATTCAAAACATGCATCTCTTAAATCATTTTCAATATTATCATCATGAAGATTTAACATATTAAAATCTGCTACAACATTTGCTGCCATGGCAATTGCATGAGAATCGGAAACTTCATTGCTTTGGGATAAATTATTAATAAAAAAAAATCTGAAAAATCATTTTTATTGTTTAATTGGCTTGATTGTTTATTTGAAATATTTAACAAATCAAAAAATTTATCATTTTGATTAACCATTGAAAGAACTTTTGGAGAGGATAAGCTAAATCATCCACTTTTTTACAAACTTTTTCTTGAAAAAAAAGCAAAGGGGTCA